TAGATTTCCTTGGCCATAAGATATAGGTGCCTCAATTGATGACCTCTAGTGTCTTAAGCCTAACGGGTACAGAATTTCTGTCATCCCGCGGCCTAGGATGGTGCCTGGGACTCAGTAGGCTCTCAATAAATATTTGAAGAACCAAGACTCTGTAGGTCGGTGAAGTTCCATAAAGGAACAGCAGGTGTCGCACCAGCCCCATAACCGCCTACCCAGAGTCCGCGGGGCTGGGTTTCATCAAACTCTAGCAGGAACTCGCTCACTCGAATTCGGATTTTTTTTTTTTTCAGGGAACGGGCTTCTGAAAGCCGACTTATGAGTTTCTCCTCCTAAAAAACAAAACAAAACAAAACAAAACTTCTCACTTGGATAAGGGGACTTCGGGCCCTTTAACAGCTAGAGGCGACTGGGTCCTGTCCCTGTCCCAGAATGCGCGGCGCTATGCAAATGAAGATGGTTTCCAAAGCGAGGATGATTCATACCATGCAAGAAAAAAGGTAACATTTTGGAAGGATATATGTCGTAGTTGGGGAGAATTTATAGATATCAGAGCCGACAATCTCACACCCTCCCAAACTATACGACCATAATTGTAAAAAGATAGCGATTTCTGAGTTTTATATAGCTGTGTGGGGAAAGGCAAATCTTGCCCGGATGATCCTCAGTGGTCTGGGGTGCAGGCTTCAAACCTGTAGCTGTCTAGCGACAGAGTGGTTCAATTCCACCTTTCGGGCGAAGGCAAACTTTTCTTATTCCTTTCAAACTGCACATTAGAGCGGATTGTCGTGAGAAAGAACATCCCTCTGCTCTACGCCTAGTCACGTCACTGCAATCCTCGGCTTCACATTTTAATCTCCGCCAGTCAGGTCTCTTCCCACGGTGACACTTTTCCTGGGAATATCAAAGAAGATTCCAAAAGATGATGAAAATCATCCTTGATCTCTCCCCTTCACTTGCTTATTTTCCTATTCAGTGTATTTGCTCATTCGTGTATTTAATCACACATGCACTTCTTCATAGGTCAGATATTCATTCATTCATTCATTCATTCATTCATTCATTCAACATGTATTTACTTGGTGCCAGGTGCTGGCACACAGTGTTGATCACAGCCCTGGCTCCAGCCTCATGATGTTCCCAGTCCAGTGAAGGAGACCGATATTAATCAATCATTAATTACACATTTAATGAACAATCACAAAGGTGATAACTACTGGGAAGGCAAGTGCCAAACGTAGAGGCCATGTCATAGGGAGACCTGAGTTCAGGTGAGGTGTCAGAGTTGCATGTGGGCAGACACCTGAAGGATGAGAGGGGATGAGCCAACAGAAGGGGAGAATATTCCAGGCCAGGGATCAAGGTGGCCCCAATAACAGCAGTGAAGAGGGCGATAACTGTACCTTCGTTCTGCACTCAGCATCGGCAGGCATAAGCTTCCTAACACCTCATAGCCCCATTCTGCAGATGAGAAAACTGAGGTTCAGAGAGATGAAGCCTCTTGTCTGAGGTCATCCAGCCTTGGTCCCAGTGCTCCAGGACTCTCACACCCCTGGCCCATACTATTTACTACTGCCCTGTGCTGACTTTCACAAGCTAGCTTTCCACTGAGTCCTGTCTGTTCTGCCTCCTAATGTCTTTTCAATTCCGGTCCTCCTCTCTATCTCATAGCCTTGCCCCTATTCCAGGCTTCCCTGACACACACCAGCATGCCCACCTGAGGCCCCTCCCTGGTCTCCTGCCCCAGTCTTGCCCCTTTCTCGGCCAACTACCCTCCACTTGGTGGTTAAAGCTGTCTTCTTGAAGCAAAAACCTGCCCCTACCTTTCGTGCACTCAAAACCTGCCATGGCTCCCCAGTGCCCACAAGAAAAGATTTAAATTCTTAGTCTGGAACTTAAGCCTGCAGAATCCTGTCCTTGCTAAACAATTTCTCTACACACTTTGCTCCATGAACCTCTAGCTCCTTCAATGTATCAAGCCATTTCCCCACCAACAGCTCTTTGTACTCACTGCATCTTTTTCTATCCCCTTCTGTACTTTCTGTTTAGCCTCCAGAACTCAACTCATCCATCCCTCCTCAAAGAAGGATGACTCCCAGACCAGGTTATGTGCCCCACTGGGCTCCCCCAGCCCCATGGATTCCCCCAACCCTGGGCACTTTGGATCATTCCCGACAGATCTGTGTCCTTCACTGGACTGTGAACCCTAGGAGGGCAGAGTCTGGAGCTGTCTCAGTCCCTGCCGAGTCCCCCACACTGCCCAGCAGTGGGCTGGGCACAGAGTAGGTACTTAGCAAATGTTTCATATTGATTAATAAATTAAGTGATTCCATCATGACAACTGCCCCTCCTTATTCTTTTACAAAGGCTTCCAGACCATCACTTCATTCCCAGAGTACTTGCTGCCGTGCAAATAAGACAGGGCTTGAATTTTGCAGCGGGGATGGTTCATCTGTATCTTTGAAAAGATGAAGTAGCAATATTTTTGGTTCATTCCATTTTAGGTTGGCCTCTATATGTTCATAATCCAGAAAATATGGTCATGGGAAAAGTAAGAGGAAACTCGTCTTCGGTGTAAAGTGATCCATGTTTTTGTGGTTCATATAACCCTGAGGATTGCTAAGTATTTTTTTATCTCTAGTACTGTGGGATGCGTGGTTCGAATTTCTCTACCTGTTCAAGCTTCACTCAGCTCATCCTGAGCATACAGGGGCTGGTTAAGTTCCTCTATTGTCAAGAAACCCCCAAAACACCCTTTGGCATTTCAGTTCCTCACACCCACTGTTCTGCCTCAGTCCCTCTAAGAGGAGGCAAACTCTGTGGGAAGTCCTCTGACTGCTTAGCCTCCTCTGTCCTGTGGTCCTGCTACAGACTGATTCACAAGTGGGAGTCCCAGAATGTGTGATGCGTGTGTCCAGCCCCCTCAGCAGATCTAACCTGGCACCCTCCTGCCAAAGGAGGGGGACGGGTATCAGGGACAAACAGACCCTACAGCTTGGCAGACTCATATTTAAGAGCTTTTTATTGGCGACAGTGCAGAACCATGGCGGGAGGGTGGTGGCCCAGTGCCAGCCAGCCCCAGCCCCCCCACGGTCAGGTGCAAAATACAAAAAAAGAGAATCACAAATACAGCATGGGGTGGGGGGAGTCGCGGAGTCAATAAGTTGTGGTCCGGCAGGGGCAGGCCCTGCTCACAGTCTCACACTCACACCCAGAATCCTTAAAAGATACAGGTTGTAAAAATCTATGATCCCTCAGGCTCGCTCACAAGAGTAAAATCTCATGTCCCCAACACACCCAGAGTCAGGAGACAGCTGGGGAGGATGGGGGGCCATCAGAAAAGAGACACACTGAGGGGTGGGGGGGAGCGGGCACAAGACCAGGTGAGAATAGGCAGAGAAGAGACCGGCGTGGGAGGGACTCGAGAGAGAGACAGCCAGAGACACTGCCCCCAAACGACCAGAGGGGCCCTGGACAATCAGAAGAGACAGCTAGAGACAGCCAGAGGAAAACGGGAGCCTGACACAGGCTGCCTCGAAGGTTCCAGAAGCAGTGCTTCCAATTCAACAGCACTGCTTTGGGGGGCCGGACGTGACCTAGGCCGACGCTGCAGAAGCTCTCACACACACTCACGCGCACGCGCACACGCACACCCATATATAATATATTTATTTATACATAATAGATATAAGTGCCTTTCGGAAACCAGGAAAGGGATAAATAGCCACGGGGACGGGGGGCGCGGGGACGGGGCACGTGGAATGTTTCCCATGCAGCACAGAAGGCGGCGTGGCCCACCCGAAGTTAAAATTAAAAAAAAAAAAAAAAAAACAATCAGCCTCACGGTAGAATTCCCGTGAGGTGAAGCACGGGAAGAGTAGGGATGGGGAGCCCAAACCAAGAATCTGGGGCTGGGGGCCTGGGGGGCTAGGAAGCTGGGACTGTGGGAGTCCAGCCCCTTTGAGTTTGCCAGTCCGAAAATATTGGGGTTGGGGGTTGGGGGTGGGGGCAAGGCCTCAGCCTTTAAATCTTCTCCGGAAAAAAATACTGGGCCCCCTGGCAACCTCCCATTAGTCCCTTTCTAGAAAGGATGTAGGGGTGCCACGAGGAGGGAGAAGTGGGCGTCCTAGGCCGGGGTAGGGGGACAGGCCTTAGAGAAGAAGGCCAGGGCTGGGGGCTGCGGGGTCCTGAGGACAGAGGCCACGCGGGTGGATAACTGTCACCCCCACTCTCGATACTGTCACCCCTGGAGTCTAACTAACTCACTGTTGAGGGGAGGAAGGAGGCGGCTGGGAGGAGGGGAGACCAAGGAAAGGCTTTGAGGCTGGGGAACACAATTCTCTCCCCGCCCACAGGAAGGGTTCTGTCCCACTGGGCTTCCCTCCCCCGCCCCCCGCCCCCCACCCCACAATCCGGCCAACCCGGTTCACAGTATAAAGCACTCCAGCAGGGCGGGCATCACAGCGCCCCCCTGCTGCCTGAATCAGAGAGGCCCAGCAAGGAAGGCCAGGAGGGAAGGCTGAGCCAGGCTGGGAGGCTTGGGGTAACACTGTAATCAGAAAGGAGGACTGGGGGCTGAATTGGACGGTGGTTGTGATGGGGGATCCTTAGGAGACCAGAAATTCAGAGCCACTTTTGCTGGGAGGGAGAGGCTGGACAGCCAGGGAGGGAGGTTCACATTTCAGACTAAGTCTGGGTGGCAGGGAAGGAGATTATCATAGGGTGCATCAACTTCCCTTAAAGGGAGGCTCAATTCAGAGGAGGATCTAACCACGTGGAAATGTCAGATAAATAAGCTAAGGTCCGGGAAGCAGGAAGAACCGCCTGGTTACCCCCTGAAGGGTGGGCGTGGGCAACATCGTGGGGCAGTGGTCTGTGGCGTTTCCTTGTCGGGCCTCTCTGGGAAGACTCCAGTCCACCCCGCAGCTCACCACCAGTACCCCTTTCCCTCCGCCCAAAGCGAGACGCCCTCCCCCCACCCCCTCCCCTCCCATCCCCAGAGGTTGGGTTGAGGTGAAAGGGCCAACCGGCAGCTGGGGGGGGGGGTCCATTCCCTCCCCAACCCCTGCCCCCAGAGTCACCAGCGTTCTGGCCTCACCGGGCCACAGAAACAAGAGGCGGCACAAAACACAAGGAGGTCCTCCTGTCCGATGACAGTGGTCGCAGAGAGTCAGACAGGAGAGGCAGGAAGGCCACACACCCGCTTTGTCTCTTCCCCTCTCTCTCGTCCTCCTCCTCTTCCAAATCTCTCTCCCTTGTGTGTTTGTTTGTTTTGTGTCTAAAGAGTTCACAGAGCAAGAAGGGAGGGCGAGTTCAGGGGGTCGGTGGGCTGGTCACTGCCGCTGGGGCGTTGGGTGCCGGCGAACGCGGAGACCTCCGGGCAGGTGAGGACAAACGAGGAAGTGTACGAAGGGTTAACAACAGGGAAGGGGTCGCCGAGGACTTGAACTTCACTGTGTGTAAAGAGAGAAGCTGTCAGGTTGGGGGCTGCGTCTTGGCTGGTCTGGAAGGGCAGGGGCGGTGCTGGCGGGGGCGGCAGCAGCCAGCTGAAACCATCTTCCTTAGTGGATGCTGACCCCGGCAAATCTCTCACCTCCGCCAGCGGGCCAGGACCCGGCCCCTCTTCGTAGGGAATCTTGCAGCCCGGTTTGTGGGCCACCAGCACAAACTCCAGACGCTCCTTCTCCTTTTGGAGCTCAGCGATCTCCGACTCCAGCTCTGCCTTTTCTTCCTCCAACTGATCTGTCTCCTGAGGCGCGGTCGTGGAGAGGAGGGAAGGAGAAAAAGGCGGTGAGCGACCAGAGAAGGTGGGTCGGTGGAAACCAGCTCCCTTAGACGTGCTGCAGAGGCCCCCGGGGGGCTGGAAGCAGCTCCACATGGAGAGGAGAGACCTCCTGATATGGGGGTCCCAGTGTGCTATGGATGGGACTTGGGACAAGGGTCTTGCCTCTGAAGAGCCCATTTTCCCCATATGTTCAGTGGGAACTGAGAAGGGTAGACATGGGGGGGGGGGGGCTCTGGTTGCAAGAGGCACTCGGAGGTTTGTTGAATGAATGAGCAATCGTTACATGATTTTAATGCCACCTCCTCTTCTCGGTTACCCTTCCCTCCCCGTCTCCCAGGGAAGAGGTCAGGTGGCACAGGGAAGGAGAGGATCCCACACACTCTGCCCTGCTTTCCTCAAAGGGCAGCAGGTTACCCTGTAGGCACAGCTCCCAGACCAAGGTGAATTGTAAAAAAGGGAAGGGAGCGGTGGCAGATGCCACCTGCCCATGGTCTGAGAAGCACGGGTGCATGTGACAAGAAACTGACCTAGGAGAAAAGCATTTTGTTTCCCAGACTTTCTGGAATGCCAAAACTAGGAGGAACCAGGAAGGTTCCACGAGGGGTTGAAGAGATGGAGAAACTGAGTCCAAAATGGGTTATGGCTTGCCCAAGCCCGAAAGGGAGGAGAGAGGACAGGACCTCTGTTAAAGGTCATAAGCCAGGGCAGGCAGGGCAGGGAGTACATGAGGGGCTGTGTGTGCCGGGCGGGGGGCAGGGGGGTGTTTTACCCTGTCTGGCCACACCCGTACCTAGTTCCTTGAGAGGAACCTCTGGCAGTGAGTCAGGCCAAAGGCACAGGTGGCAAGGGGTAGTAGATGGGGGAGCCCCCCACCTTGGGTCAGTCTACCCTCACCCTGCCCCAGGGACCATGCTCACCGCCTGGAGCCGGTCAGTCAGCTCCCTCCGACGATTCCTACACTTAGCTGCTGCCAGTTTGTTTCGTTCCCGGCGAACCCTTCTCTTCTCCTCCTCCTCCGGAGTCAGCTGAATAGGGGAGACAGAGGCCATGAGGTTTGGGGACATGATGCACTGCCTCCATCCATTCCAAACCTCCTCTTCTTCCAGAAGGCCCAAGGGCCAGAAGAGGACCCCTCTGGTCCTCACTGACTGTGGGCAAGGTTTCTGTGGCACTAAAGCCTTGCTGGTCCCTCACCCCATGGGTGAGAAAGTTCCCACCTCTCTTGCTTCCCACTCCCAGCCCCAAGTTCGGGTGCCCCTTACTCACCGTCTCCTCTCGGGGTCTTCTAGGCCGGGCTCGGGCGGGGCGGGCAGGCCCAGGTCCACTGGTGGTTCCGCTGGTGGAAGGCCCACCGCTGCCACTAGCTCCGCCACTACTGTAGCCACTCATGCCCGGCGTGGAGTAACTGGTTCCTGGCATGTCGTAGGGGTCGACAGCCGGGGGCTGGGAGGCCAATGGTTGCCCCTGGGACTGGGCCATGGAAGAGATGAGGGTGGGTTGCACAAGCCACTGGAGGTCCTGGCTGGTTGTGATCGCGGTGACCGTGGGCACGAAGGAACCGGGCATTTCCCCGAGACCGGCGCACTCCTACGGGGTGACACATACACACACAGGCGTAGACACACAAACAGAGACACCGACACACACACACCCAACACACATACACACACCGACCCCGTGAGTGAGCACAGGGCGAGCGGGTGTGGATGTGTGTGTCACAGGCAAAAAGCCACAACACCCACCCTTCCACTACACCGTGACGCAGTGGTTAATGAGAGGATTTCTGCTCAACTGGCTTCTACCTCCTCCTTCTTCTTCGGGGAAAGGTTGCACGGTTCCAGCGGGTGGTGAATCACACCCCGGGTTGGTGACTCTTAGGTGGGGGGGTGGGGAGGAGGCTGGACACAGCCGGGTGACAGAACCCCCGGGAAGGAGTCACAGCCACACACACAGCCACAACACCCCACCCCCACCCCAGAGGCAAGGGGAGGGAGAGGGAGAGGCCTTAGGCCAAGCCTTCCTCCACACTCACACACATACACACACTCCTCTGAGACGGGGGGACGAGAGACTGGAAGGTCCATGAGACCTCCGTGCAGGGGTGGGAGGGGTTCTTAGTTAAAGGGGTGTTGGGGGACAGGCCTAGGAGTTTAGAACAACGTTTCAAGTAATTGTCTCTCCACGGAGTGAGGCCGACAAGTGACAGGTTACGGTGGACCGACAGGTAGAGAAAAGTGACGACCCGGGTTCCCACAGCCTGCCACGGGGAACGAATGGAGCAGGTCCCGAGCCCCCCCAGCCCCGCGGCGCTCATCTACCCCCACCCCCAAATGGAATCCTAGAACTGCTCGGCAGGCTTAACTACTCTCCCGGGGGCGTGGTGAGGGATGGGCTGGCTCACTGGCCAATCAGAGCCCTGGAAACCCAGAGGGGGCGGGGCTCCCGGAGACCACCTGGCTGGTTCCCCCAAGGTTAGCGTTTCTAGTCCCCTCTTCCGACACAGCGGAGGGATCGGGCGTCCGGAGCAGGGGGATTGGGGCTGTGTCTGTGTGTGCCCTGGCAAGAGGGTGACGGCCACCCATGTTTCCCAAAGAGATCCCGGCGCACGGACGCCCGCCGCCCCTGAGATCGGAGAGTCCTGATCCCCGCAAGGTCCTCGTGGATCCATTGGATCGCAGAGGGTCGCTCCTGTCGCGACAGGAATCCCATCACTCGGCCTCTAGAGGCCCGTAACAGAGACCCCAGTGCCGAGGAACCACGAGTTCCGGGGACGGAGGGGAGGGGGAAGGGAACTGCACCCTACAAATAGGAAGGGAAAGTTGATTGGCCAAAGCCCGCGCCGCGGCGGCCAATCGGAGCGCCGGGCTGCCCCCTCCCTTAGCAACGTGGCCCCGGCGTTCCAAAATAGAACGCTCCGGGACGTCAGGGGCGGGGCGGACGAAGGGGGCGCCGCGCGCCGTGCGTGCCCCGCGTCAGACGGAGGATTCCAGCGCGTCAGCCGTTACGCACGGGTCCCCCGTTACGTCTCCGCGCAGGAGGCGGAGGCTGCGCTTCCAAGCGAGGGTTCGAGGCCAGCTTGCCGGCGGGATCGAGGGCAACCCGATGCCGGAGTAGGCGCTCCGATGGAGAAGGAAAGGGGAGGAGGTCATTGGCAGCTTCCCTGGGGTTTCGCCCACCTGCCTAACTGCGCTAGCTTCAGGTTGGGGACTGAGTCGGGAGCAGTCCCGGAGCGAGCTAAAAGTTCTCAGCCCTGCCACCGCATACACGTTGCACTGAACGGAGCATTCTCCCCACCCCCAAGCTTACCCCTCCGCGTTCCCTCCCTGCGATCCGCGCACACCACCAATTGCAAACGCGTCCCGACTCTGCAGTTTGCAAAGTGTGCGGTGAGCCTGTCTCTCCTCAGATCCTGAGTTTCGGTGCGTCTTTATTTGGGGAGGGGGGATTGCTCGCTCCACCCCGATTTAAAAATAAATGAAATAAAACCCGTAAAGCAGCACCCCAACCCTCCAGAACTTACCTGGGAGGCGGCGGCGGTGGGTGGACTGCCGAAGGAGTCCACCGAAGACAGATACTGAGACTCGGCGGAGGGTGAGGAGCTGCACCGGGAGCCGGAGTCGTAGTCTCCGGGGAAAGCTTGAAACATTTCCCTGGGCACAGGGGGGGCCCTGTGACCACGCTGAGGTCGCCGGGAAGCCAAGGCTATGGCCGGGTGGAAAAGAAAGGTGCGAGTCCGGGGTGAGCCGAGCGCGTCCCCAAAGCGCGCTGTCCGAGAAAACTCGGGATGAGGGCAGCGTCCCGCTCCAACAATGGCAAAGTTTCTGTGCAATTCCTCTGCGGTGCCCAGGCCCCCACAAGATGCCGCTGTGCCTCGAAAGTCCAGGCTCCGTAGGACCCAGGGGCGTGGGGGGGGATCGCTCCCCCAGAGGCTGAAAGCGCTGTCTTGCCGTACAGAATCTGCTTCGGGTGCGGTCTCCTCCACGCGTCCAGCGGGTCCCACGGGGGGAGGGGAGTAATAAAGAAGACAAAAAGAGTAAGTCGCTCCTCCAAAATAAAATGTAGAATTATCTAGAAGAATCCAGCCCCCAAAACTTTCTCGCCGGAAAAAAAAAAAAAAAAGCTGAACTTCACAGCCCCCAAGAAGAACCACAACAATCAAGTCCCCAAGTCCCAGCTCCGCCTGTCCCTGCCGAGGCCGTAGCTCTCAGTTTTATGAATGAAGCCCAAAGCCGCCAGCCTGTATTTATATGCCCGGGGCCCGCCTCTCTGCTTACGTCACCCTACCCAAGCTCCACAAACTTCCTAAAATCTCTGGCCCCACCGAACGCAGCCCCGCGCCGTCCGGCAAGAGGTCTGCCCTGGCCTCGGTCTGTCCACCTGCATCACCTTCGCGACCCTGGGGGTCGTGGGGGCTACGTTCCAGAGCCCTCGGCGGGAGGGGATCCCGGCCCGCCTCCCAGAAGTTCCTGTGACGCAATTAGCCATATAAGGAGCTCGGCCGGCGCGGCTGAGTGTTTGTTTGGTATCCTAGCAATTACGTCAGAGGGAATCCCTCGCTCGCTCGCGCGCTCACCCCGCGCGCCTGCGGAACCCGCCCGCGCCTGCGCAGTACCGCGCTGCCCCGGGGGCTGAGTATTAATAGGCTCTGAAACTAGCCTGGGGAAGACCCCGAGAAGCGGGTACCCCTCACCTCTGGCAGGCCCCCTCAGTTCTCCCGGGGGTGCAGCGCCCTCGCTCAAGAGGAAGGTCAGATCCCCAGGTAGAGACCCTGGCTAGCGTGGCGTGAGTCACGTAGGTGGGGAAACTGAGTCTCGAGCGGAGTGGGAGGGGTTTTGCTGCTCCAGGTGAAAGTGGAGGTGGGGGTGGAGCCCCTAGGCTCTTGGAGGCTTTCGGCCCTGACTCGGGAAGTGTTTTCCCGCTCTGAGTTTCAGCTTCAGTTTTCCCGGCTGGACAAAGGATGTGTGTCTTGGAACCCGCTGGCCCCGCAGCCCGGCGTTCGGGGGAGGTATGCAGGTTCCGAGCGGGTAGAGAGCGAAATTTAGGATGAAGCGTCCCTGCTGACGGGGTTGGTAACCTCTCCTTCCCGCGTTATAATCCTACCTGTAGACAGAACGAATGTGTGCGTGAAGAATCATTAATAGTAATAATAGATGCTGGGCGCCTGGGTGGCTCAGTGGTTGAGCGTCCGCCTTTGGTTCGGGTCCTGATCCCGGGTGGGATCGAGTCCCGCATCCGGGTCCCCGCAGGGAGCCTGCTTCTCTCTCTGCCTATGTGTCTCTCATGAATAAAATAAAAATAATAATAGATGCCCTGTATTTAACAATGACCAAATACCAGCTCCTGTACTAAGCCTTTGAATATGAGATTTGTAATCCTCGAAACGGTGTTTGAAGGTTAAGGGAGGAAAATCTTCACTTTCTAAAAGAGGAAAATAATACTCAAAGAGGTTAAGTGACTTGCCTGGGATCCGATGGCAAGAGATTCAAACCCAGAATGTTAAACTCCAGAGCTCCTACTTTCTTCCTGATTTCTGAGAACTGCCTGGTTCAGCGAAACTCCCTGAAGAAACTGGGTCTTGGGATTGTTGAAATGATAACGGTGATACTGAGCTGAAGCTCTAAGCCTTGCGAACCTGCCTGTCTGCTCACAGTGTACTGTTGTGACCCAGGCACAGAGGGGTAGAGTTGCTTCCCTGCGGCCCCTCCCAGTTAGGAAATAGAGTTCAGGAGTTTAATCTGGGTATTTGGGATGCCACAATCCCTGGCTCTTAACCGCCCACTGGAAAGGGTCCCACCTGCTGCTTCACAAATCTCAGAGATCCTGGGTTCGGTACTTCCCCTCCAGTGTGGAGCCAAACCTGGCCCTGGAGGGAGAAGCGCTTTGAGATTGCTGAAGCCCAGAGAGGAGGAGGCTCTGGCTCAGGGTCACACAGCAGGTCTGAGGCAGAGCAGGAGGGGGTGGGTAGACCCTGATTCCCAGCAGAACCTTCATTCCCTGCTTTGATAGTGGGGAGGGGATGGGGAGACGTGGAAGGCTGGAGGAACACAGGGGGCAATCTGGGGAGGTCAAGGTTTCCAGACAAAAGTCCAGCCTCAAGCTTGCCCTCCACCTCATTCCCCTACGCCCCCTCTGTCTGCCATCAGTCTGGAAGTAGGGACAAGGACTAGGAGATGACACAGCAACCACCAGCAGGCAGTGACTCGGCTCCAGCAGCAGACAGGGAGTGACCCCTCGTTCCCTGTCCTGTCTAAGCCCCTCATCTCTCCCACAGAATTAAGGAGACACACAAATACCCTGGCTGCCCAAAGATCTTCACACCCTTACACCCCGACACAGGTGGCCCACATGTCCACTCAGTCACCGGCACATACTCACAGGGTCATGCGGGCATTCAGACATTCACCCACGACCAGCAACATATATGGCCACACAGAAAAACAGCTTCGCCCACACCCACATATTGAAACACACAACTGTCATGTGGTCACTGACACACATGACCCACACACCTTCACTGTGGATGCACATGGACGCTCTTCACATGATCATAATGAGGGCTAACTCTTCCCCAGCCCTCCTACTAATTTCTTTTCTTCTCACCACACTCCTGTAAGGTAGGAACTTTCATTTAACCTGCAAGGAAATGGAGGCCCAGAGAGGTGGAGTCACTTTCTTAGAGTCACACAGCAAATTAGCGGCAAAACTGGGATGCCAAGACAGCATGTCAGAGCCCATGCTTTTATTTTGTTTATTTATTTTTTTCAGATTTTATTGTTAAATAATCTCTACATCCATCATGAGGCTTGAACTTACAACCCTGAAATCAAGAGTCGCACGCTCCACCTGCTGAGCCAGTCAGGTGCCCCAAGCCTGTGCTTTTAATGAGTTATGTATGTCAATATATTCACATGCATATGATTATGCTCATGTAGACACTTTGCATTTATGCTCTTGACAGGCAGACCCAGAATCTAGACACCCTGGGCTTACATTCTTGTCCTACCACTTAGTAGTTGGGTGACCTTGATTTAGTGATGTTTGGAGCATCCATTTCCTCATCTGGGAAAGGAGGAAAGGAATAGCGCCCAGCTCATGTGGCTGGTGGGGGACTACATAAGATGAGTATCAGGAAAGCTTCTGGATCACACCTGGCACATTGTAGGGAGTTGTTTTGTTATGAAAACAGAGCCACCCTGGGGGACCTGGGTGGCTCATTTGGTTAAGCATCTGACTCTTGATTTCAGCTCAGGTCTTGATCTCTGGGTTGTGAGTTCAAGCCCTGTGTTGGGCTCCACACTGGGCATGATGCTACTAAAAAAAAAAAAACAAAACAGAAACAGAGCCATCCTGACCTTTGCAGATGTGCACCCTCCTAGAGATGTCACCCTGAAGCAGAGATGCACAAGGTCACATTATAACTCTCTTGAGCCATGGATACTTTTGTTTTCATTGCCTTCTTCCTCCATAAAGACATCTAAAATTATATTTTATGCAGCACTTGGGTGATTCAGTCATTTGGGGGTCTGACACTTTTGATTTCAGCTCAGTTCATGATCTCAGGGTCATGAGATCGAATCCTACATGGGGCTGTGCACTCAGTAGGGAGTCTGCTTGAGATTCTCTCTCCCTGACTCCCTCTGCCCTTCTCAATCGCTCTCTCCCTCTCAAATAATATCTTTTAGAAAAATAATAAAATGGGATTATTATGACTGCATTGGTATAAAGACAGAGAATACTATATATTAGAACATTTTCTTTTACTTAGAAGTTCAGGGTTTTTTTTTTTCTTCTGATGTTAAAAGAAATTGCATTTTGGGGGTGAGGCCCTAAAACTATCATAGGCTCTAGTGCTGTGCCCTCTGTGCCTAAGGGAAACGTTAGCCCTGGTGACCACACATGCACACACACACAAACACACACACAGGTATGCACACCTTGTTCACAGAGTATGGGGTGGGCAAGGCAAATCTTTCTTCACAGGGCTCAATCCCAGGGAGCTTCCAGGAGGACTGGAATATAGGGGAGAGGGCAAGACACACACACGTACATACCTGCTCTGGCTCTGGAGGGCTTGGCTCTGCATGGGGAGGGGGAAGAGGGAACCCTCAGCCCTCTGCCCCCATGGGTGGGGGCTGGGGTGGCAGTGCTAACTCCCGCTTGCTCAGAGGATCCTGTAAGCAGCCCTGGAGGCAACTCTGCCAAAGGTGGACCTCAGCACATCCTTCTATCTTTCCCTGAACAAAACTCTTGCAACCCTGTTCCTCAGTTTCCCCATCCACAGAGCAAGACAGCTGGATGACAGTGGGCTCTGAAAGCCCTTTCTGGCTCTCTATTTTATTTATTTTTTTAAATTTATTTATTTATGATAGTCACACACACACAGAGAGAGAGAGAGAGAGAGAGGCAGAGACATAGGCAGAGGGAGAGGGAGAAGCAGGCTCCATGCACCGGGAGCCCGACGTGGGATCCATCCTGGGTCTCCAGGATCGCGCCCTGGGCCAGAGGCAGGCGCTAAACCCCTGCGCCACCCAGGGATCCCTCTCTAATTTAATGCTGAGAAGAAGGAGGAGGAGGAAGAGGAGGAGGAAAGCAAATGCTTAGTAGGCTGTGCTGGGTGCTTTCATGCACGTTATCTCAGTTAATCTTCACAGCGGGCCAGCCCCAGGAGGAGGTTGTTATTATCCACATTGTACAGAAAAGAAACTAGGAGGTGAAGCCTGAGAGCAGGGCGTCTCAGCTGTTGGTGTGATGGCGAATCAGTTGGGGAATCTGGTTACAGGGCTGATCTGATGGAGCCTTTTGCATTTCCAGCAAGCCCCTGGGTGATGCTGGGGCTTCAGCCCCCAAGAGAAATGTCTGTGGGGGTTTCTGCGTAATGGAGTGGGGTGGGGGTGGGATGCACCTGCAAGTGTGTGTTTTGCTGTTGTGACTGTGACCTCCATGACTGTAGGGCCAGGCAGGTTAGTTACTGCTGGCCCCTTGGTACCCAGCACTGAATAGTTTTACTGGCTAGCTAGGCCAGCTCCCCACTCAGCAGTCCTGGAGGCCTCCTGGAGGGGGTGTCTGTAGCGTGTCAGGGAAACCAAGTAGTCCAGATGGGGGACTCCTAGCTTGACTTTCCCAGCACATTTGCATTTGGAATTCAAACTCCTCATTCACCGTGGCCCACAAGGTCCACCATAACCTGGCCTG